TCCTTTCCTTTCCTTTCCTTTCCTTTCCTTTCCTTTCCTTTCCTTTCCTTTCCTTTCCTTCTCTCTCTCTCTCTCTCTCTCCTGCAGTTGCTTAAACCTTTTTCTGCCTGCCACGGGGACATTAAAATGATCAGCAATTTGCCTCTCTGAAGACCGCCTTTGGTTCCATGCCTGGAAAAACAGTAGGCGAAATAGTACAGCCTTAAGTTCTAACATGTGTAAGTTATACATCTTATTTCCATTTCCAAGCAGTCCTTCTCCCCAAAAAGACATGAGGAAAAAATTACCGTCTGCCTCTGAATATCTCGGCAGAACGTTTATCTCCCAGCCATGATAACTATGCTAGAATAATTCCGCCTCTGTGTCTTAGCAAACAAATTTAAAGTTCTCCATTGGAAAATCCTTCAGGCTTGTTCAGCAGATGGGAATTTAACATGCAGGCATGTTCTTTTCTCTGTTTACTGAATGGACTGGATTCTTTCAAAGCTTGTTTTTCTTGTGGCTGATGGTTGGATCAGGTGACATGGTTCATGAATTCAAAGAAAATGTCATAGGCAGAACATAGCAACAGAACCTAGATCTGTCTAGCAGTACTGATGGTTATAGGACCCATCACTTTATCTGGCTGGTATCTAAAGGGACTCCATTTCTGAATATAAGGTTCTGCTGACAGATGGACATTAGGATGGAGGTAGTCATGTGTCTAAGTAGAGAGATGTTGCTAACCCTTGGAGTCTTGCAATCCACTCCCCACGTGTTCTTTCACAATGTGGAATAGTGATAGCCTGAGCCTCCCAAATAAAAATAAAAAACTAAATGCACCCTTGACTTGTTATAATGGATAAAGCATATGACTATAATAATGCCTGCGTTGGATCAGACAGAGGTCTGTCTAGATCAGCCAGTCATTAGATCTCAGGGCAAGGTGGGCTCCAGCTGATGAGATTCTGGATCTGGGGAGAGCTCAATGTGAGCCCATGGAGGGAACTGGGTTTTGGAGCAGCATAATCTTCAGATCCAGAGGTGAGACCATAAGCAAGGCTTCCCTTACTGACTTTTGCATGTGGGTTGAGTAATATAAGGGAAGATATTTCATGTACTCGAGTCATAATCCATTAAGGGCTTTAAAGATACCATTATAGATATCATACTCACTGTTGATGCCATTACATTTTCCATCCCTGGTATAAATAGGCAGAACTATGATTTCTATATTTCTGTCATGAATAAATACATTCCTCTGGCTTTAACTTTTAGTGTTGGCAGAAGGATCCAGACCCAAAAGCAACGCTGAGCCAATATTGTACTAACATCTGTATTTATATTTCAGGGAATCTCCGGTGGATTGCAGTGTTAGCAAATGCAACAAACTGGTTGGTGCGGGTCCAGAATCCAACCCTTTGAATTATGGCACCTACATAGATGAGAAGAATGGACCTCCTCCTCCCAACATGACCACAAATGAAAGGAGAGTCATTGTTCCAGCAGGTAAGAGGTCACCTGGTTGCCTTTTGAATATTTTTATACTTGTTGAAATTTTCTTGAAATCAGCATGAACTCTCATTAAACAAACAAGCAAACAAACAAACCAGCATGTTAAGAGCTCATGTACGACTCTTCAGGATCAGTCATTCTGAGAGCAGCCAGCGTTATCCCTGATAACTCACAAGACATTCTTTGGAATGGGAACAGCATTAATGGGAGTTACTGGATTGAATTTCAGGAATGGGTAACAGATTCATCCATAGCATGCAGGCATAGGCATGCATCTGCTTCAATTACTAATAGTGAAATATATGCACGCCTGGGCAGAAGTAAATCTTAGTAAGGACAAACAGGACTTACCCACCAAGTAAGTGTACAACAGATTGCAACCAAAGATCCCATGTTATGCACAATCCATTGTTTCCCATAGTGCAGCAAATACTACTGAACATAGAAAGAACTCTTCCAGGAGTGTTAAGTTGTAAGTGAACGTGAAGACAACATAAATTAGGAGAAGAAAATAGGCAAGTGAGTCGTTAGTGCAGAATATACAGTATTTGGTTCTGTCTTTTTTTTTTTTAAGCAGAGCTGTGCATTTTTGATAAAAACCATGAGAAAAATAGCACAGGATGCAGATAAAACTACAGACATCTAACGATAAGTAACTCTATAAAAACAGTATTATATGTAGCCTGATAGGAACCTCCCTAAGGGGGGAGTTATATTAGATTAAAAAAAACCTACGGATTCCATTTTCAATGCATGAAAAACCACAATGTGTGTGAGAGAGCAAATATTGTCAAATATGTTCATAAAAGTCTTCTGAAGTACATCAGCCTTGACAAATTATCATATTGTAATAAAAAGTATGTGATTTCTAGATTTTCTTTTCAGTTAGCAACAGGAATGAAATTCACACTTATTTTGAAATAGGGGTTTGCAAAAGTTTCGAATTCAAACCACCTCAAGTTCAACTTAGCCCATTTCAGGTTCAAGGTTGCTTTGATTCAGAATGGTCTGTTTCAAGCTTGAAACACTCAAAACTAGAAGATTCTCTTTCAGGTGTGAGCTAGCAGTTTCAAGAAGTTCGAAGCATTCAAACTTGAAACAGTTAACAATATCATGCTATGACATCATCATGGCATAGGGCCTGGTTTCTTGAGGGACCCCCTGTCTCCCATAAAATCTGCCTGGCCAATTCAATCCTGCAGGGTTGGTGCGCTTCAGGTTCCTTTGATTAAACAATGTCCTCTCTCAGGACCCTGGAAGCGTGCCTTCTCTGTAGTAGTGCCTGTCCTCGAGATCCGGATGTCCCCCAGATCTGTTGTTTAGAAGAGCCATGAAGACCTGGCTCTTCACCCAGCCCTTCAGCGAGGGAGAGTTGTGAGCCTCCCAGAGTCTTTAAGAGTCGGGTAGCATACAAGCTTGATAAATTATTATCCTCGTCGACATCATCATCATGATGTAAATAACACAAATTTTTGTCATTTGTCTGATGATGACATAATGTATGTGATGATCCTATGGCTTCTACCAGACACTTAATGCCTGGGTGTGAGCTCACTAAAAAGATTACCAGAATCGTGAAGAGCAACTGCTAGGATGGACAATAACAGGCTTTATGAAGAGTGAGTCAGTCCGATTTCTCCAGCTCAGTGTTCTTCAAATGTGTTGGATTTCAGCTCCCATAATTCACAGCTAGAGTGATTTGGAAATTGGGGATTGGCTGAATTCTCACATACTGAAGAGCGCCAGTTTGGGGGAAAGCACAGTGAGATATTTTTCAGTGTTCCAGTTGTATGACATTGCCAATAACAATGACCTAATAAAAGCATAATGTGCTTGGTTTCCAAAGGCTCAGTCAGCCACAGAATGATGGCCCAGAGAGGCTTTTGGCATGATCCAGCAGCATTTTTATACAGCTCCAATCTGTGTAATTGTCCAGTTCTTAAGATCACCACCAGTTATAACAACGCTCCATTTGGGCCTCAAACACAGTCATGAACCCAATTCTGTGCATCCATTGTTCCTCCATCTGTATTGACTTAGCAGGCCTTGATGTTGCAAAACGAAAGGGTGAGTGGGTGGGAATAAAAGTTTGTTTTTGTCAGGCAGTTGAGTCTGGAAATATGACTCAGACGTATAAAGCAAACTTGTCTGAGCAGGGAGGTCATTTTACAGAGAATTTACTACTTTTTGGAGCACGCTAATAAACATCTCTCCAAAAATTGCAATAACCATCTGTGCAAAATTTGTAAGGGGCTGAGCAAAGGGTCAAACAGTTTGGACAGCATGGCTGGAACTGCCTAGTTCTCAGAGACCTGAAAGATTAGCTATGGGGAGAAAAACAAAGCAAAACATAAACCTGGTCTTTGGAGAATGGTGATTGAAAAAGAAATGTTGTGAATGAGCCAGCAATGACCATAGAAGCTGCCAAAGATGCTTACTGATATGATGATGATGATGACGACGACGACTCCAGTACTTAATATCGATATAGAGACTCCAATTCTACACTATTTCATGTTCAGCATTTGGTGGCCATACCACATGTTTTGGGAAAAAGTGTACACCAGATTGGATGGGATTGTGTTGGAATAGGCCAAGTTTGGGACTTTCTGGGGATTTGTGGGAGGGGAGATAGAGAGACAAGCTTTGGGGGAATATGTTTAGAAAAGTGTATTGCCACAATTTCTAGAAGTGTCTTGTTTCAAAACTTAGTGCAGTTGAAGGGACTCTCAAGATTGCAGCAACAACCACAATGACAGAAAAGCAGTTGGAGACCACAAATAGCTCATTAACCTTGTCCATGGCCCAGTTAAGTTTCATGCCTCTATCATGTAATACTTCACTTAACCATTCCTCTCCAGTAAGAAAGAAACTGGAAGGAGGATACAAGAAAATGGTCTTTCCTTCCAGTTAGTAAACTGCCAGAATAGGAAATCTGACCTCAACATATTTGGCTGATTGCAAGTATTCCTATGATCTATCATCACCTGGGAATATATTTCTGTATCTAAGCGGGACTGGGTATTGTCAGCACCACTAGGTAGACCAGACCAGGAAATCATCTCCATAGGAAGGCTAAGACTATTTTTCTTGTTGTTCTGGACTTAAAAAATGTTTCAGCCCCTTTGGCCTAGATAACAGTTCTTGCATATTTCCATCAAGGTCATCTTTCTTACTCTCTAAGTATATAGGTATAAGCTAAGAGCAATTTGAAAGTTACCTCCCAGCCTTGGAGTTTCCCCAAATACCAAGTCTGTGTATCCTGTAGAAATACATACGTACATACATACATACATACAATCAAACTTGAAAAAGATCAGAAAATTATAGAGTAAAGGATCAAATTATATCTGTCTATCCTGAGATATGGCAGACTATAAATTGAATTAAATAAAGATGATTAAGGAAATGTGCCATTTCTGCTGTTCTTCGAAAGCCAGGATCTTGACAGAGTATTGGTCATCAATCATCTAACCTCCTTCATCCTTCCACCCGTCTGATTTCTTCTGACAGATCCCACATTATGGAGCCAGGATCACGTACGCCAGTGGCTAGACTGGGCTATTAAAGAATACGGCTTAATGGAGATCGATAGCAACCTCTTCCAGAACATGGATGGCAAAGAACTGTGCAAGATGAATAAGGAGGATTTCCTCCGTGTCACTTCCCTCTACAACACAGAAGTACTGCTGTCTCATCTCAGTTACCTCAGGGAAAGTAAGTTACTGCTTTATTCTCCCTTGCTACCTTAAATGGCTGTAGTAAAGCTAATGAAACCATTGCAAAATAAAAATCCAATGATTGTTGTGTATCAAATGCAAGCCCAACTTATAGTACAATCAGTGAAACTCACATCCTCAAGCCTCTTTTGCCTACTCGTGTAATGTAACAAGCTAAGAGCCATTCCTTTGAGTGAGGACCGTTTTCATCTCTCTCTTTTTTAGGAATGGACTGATCTAGTATCAGGCTGGTTGCTTGTGACCACGTGAAAACTTCTTTCATGTCCAGTTTATCTAGAGGAGCTGGGGGTGAACTGACAGCCAGAATGATCAGGGACCGTATTTATTATGAATTCTGGGAATTACTATATAGTTGCCAGATACCTGATGGACACCAGATATGGGAAGCTGGGACATAGGTTGGGAACTGAAGTGGGAAACTATGGAGAAAGGCAAAGAAAGGAGATTTAAGTGAAAGGGGATGCAGGACACTAAAAGGAAATATCAACAAACCATGCGGGTTCTGTTTTGAGATGCTACAAGGAAGATTGCAGCACAAGATTAATCCTAGTTGATAAAATCTTGTGCTGATCTTGTAGCATCTCAGAAGTGTTCTTTCCCTGAGAAAGAAGCTTCAGTATTTCTACCTTATTCTCAGTGGGCTTGAGAATTTCTTTGCATTTCTTTTGATGGCATTAGGAACAGTATTAATTTATACCCGTGCACAACTTGCTCCTTAATTTTCTTTCTTTTTTTAAGTTAATGCTACAGCATCTGATGTAGTTCAGCTCTAATGTAATGGCTGATGAAGTAGAGGCTTTATCTAAAAATAGAGAAAGCAAAGCAAGCTTTTTAAAAATTATAGCTATATACAAATACACACGCACACACACACACACACAAATACACATACACATATACAGATGTAACTGATTCATTGGCTAAAACTGATAAAATTAATTGGCTAGACTTTCTGTGCATTTCCCTTATGCACAGCCACAAAGCAAGAGAAAAAGAAATATACCCAGATGGGTCAGGGAGGAAGTCTGTTTTGTTTGGTAAAAGAGGAACAAAAACACAGAGAAAGGAGAAATGCAAACAGGTCATTTCAGTTCAAGTCAAAGCAAATTGTCATCTGCAACGTTTTCTTCAATCTGCCCCTGAAATGTATTTTGCTTGAGTACAGTAAGTGAGTTCATCAATACCAATATCTCCGCCCAGTCCTTGTTCCATCGACAGCTGATTTCACACCAGCATCATCTCCCTAGCATCACTCAATGGGTGTTTTCTTTTCCCCACCCCAATGCAACAGCTTGCACACTTGTGAAGAAGACCTTCCCTAAAGACTCTTCCTGCTTTGCACAGTGATATGGCTGTACACTCCACTGTCCTCTTTGGCTGCCCCTGGGATACTCTGACATATATGGAGCCTTGTCTTCATTAAAGCCTGCTTACGGGCCAAGCAGGCTACTGAAAACGACTTCTTTCCAAGCAGCTGTTCTTACATCTGCCTAATGACAGTCTGGTTTCTGGATTTCTGGGTAACTCCCTTGTGGTGTAACGCCTTTGAAGGGAATTTATTGTTTTTCCAGGCCTAATTTCCTGTGGCCGTTGAATGCTGAGTTGAGTGCAGAAGGTGCTCAGGAGCTTAGTTTCTTATTTTTCTTGCTAGAGAGAATGTTAGGGATGCTTCAGTCTACTGGAATGAATGAGATGAACTTAAAACACCTGAAATAGAAATGGCTTCTATTGAAATGATGGCATGGATGGCTACCATCTTAACCTTCTGGCTGACCCTGCAATGCTTTGACAGGGTACACCACCATTTCTTACTGGAAGAGGGCTCATGTGGGGTCCAGCTTGTAGGGGTGACTATATAGCCACTAACTGATAATCAGGAATGTTCTTAGAGGCATTCCTATTACTACTACAGGTAGTCCTCAACTTATGACCACAACTGGGACAGAAACTTCCATTGCTAAACAATGCAGTCATTAAGTGAGTCAACCCAATTTTATGAGCTTTTTTGCCACAGTCATTAAGCGAATCACATGGTTGTTAAGTGAATCTGGCTTCCCCAATGACTTTGTTTGTTGGAAGCCCCCTGGGAAGGTCGCAAATGGCAATCGTATGACCCCGGGATGCTGCAACTGTCGTAAATATGAACCGGTTGCCAAGCACCCAAATTTTGATCATGTGACCATGGGGACGCTGCGATGGTCATAAGTGCAAGGACTGGTCGTAAGTCACTTTTTTCAGCACCACTGTAACTTTGAATGGTTGTTAAATGAATGGCTATAAGTTGAGAACCACCTGTACAGGGGAAAGCGTGTTGCAGAAGGTCATTAGTGGTTTGGTGTTAAAAACGAATGTTGATTGTGTGCTTTTCTGCCAATCTGAGATGTTTGGAAAGAAATCATGACTTCAAAAGCAGCAGAGTGAGGTTAGCTATGGGTACTGCTCATACTGAATCATCAAGTGCCAGTCCAGGGTCCTACAGTATGTTCAAGTGGTGGGACAACTGCCAGCAGATGGCACTGGGAAAAACAAGCCGAACAAGCTGTCCCATGGAAATCCAATATTTTGAGGCCAGTGGACCAATTTGGAATCTTGCAAGCATGTCATAGATAATCGAAGATATAGCCAATGCCGAGACATGCAGATAAAAAGAGAAAGCTGCAGCCACCCACCATTTTATCTTCTAAGAACGCCTCTGACGTCTGTATGGAGGTTTTTGTCAGTCAGTCATTTTACTGCAGTCTCAGACCAGTAGAAGAAATATGTCCACAAGTGATCTGTGAGTACCTATAAAACAGTCTAGCTTAAGAAACCAGTAAATAAAAATGTAAGACAACATTAAAATGCATCTATAAAGCAGCCTGACTGGGACTCGTGAGTGAAATCCAGAAGAAATAATCTATAATCTGGGTCAGTGTTTCTCAACCTTGGCAGCTTGAAGATGGCTGGCTGGGGAATTCTGGCTAGGAAATTCTGGGAATTGAAGTCCACATCTTCAAGTTGCCAAGGTTGAGAAAGATCTAGGTTATAAATGAGATAATATCTAAAAGTACATAAAATGTGATAATATCCAAAGCTAGGTAAATGTGGAGACAATCTGGCTGCAACATCTGTATTATTATAGTCAGGGTTGATTTGGCTGATCTGTCTGGCTAGGTGGGTGTCCCCTTCCTATCTCATCACTCCACGTCTGTCCCTCCTGAAGCTGCACCCTAATGGAAGAGGATGACCATCCCAGATAGGAGTGCACTGATCTTTGGTCAAGGATATGCTGGCTTGGGAATTCTGGGAGTTGAAGTCCACATGTCTTAACATTGCCAAGTTTGAGAAACTCTGGTCTAGAACTTTAATACCCAGACCTCTAAAATAGGCTATGAAGTTTATAAGGAAACAGTGTAGCAACCAAAGAACTCTCTTGCAGCCTCACCGCTGCATTCCCTCCCAATTGTAGGGAGAGGCGCCTCTACCCCAATTAAATCATGTTAATATACATTAATATAGCCCTTAATTACTGTTTTCTTTGAAGAGTGTCAGTGATGAGAGCATTGATGTGACCAAAAGGAGGAGGTGAAAGTTTTCAGCACTTCAGTGAAGGAAAAAAAATGTACAAAATTATTTGCATGAACTCCTCTCAGGTGTTTCTCTTTTTCCCTCCCCTGTGAAAGCTGGTTTTGAATGGCAGCATGCCTATTGTAAAAATAAATAAGATGGTAGATTCAAAAGCAATCCATGTGTTCAAAAAGAATTACTTTCCCTGCAGTCGGGTGGCTCTTTGGTAATAGTCCACTTCTGCAACTCCTTCCTTCCTTCCTTCCTTCCTTCCTTCCTTCCTTC